AAGAAAAGTAAATTCTCTAGATTTTATGCCTTACAACGTTTCAAGTACTGTCCTTATTGGGGAAAGTAATTACAAAGCACGAAGGAAGGATCAATTAATCAGATTAAAGATAACAGAAAAGTTCAAGGATTCATTTCCATCAAAAAAGAAAAAAGAGGAAAAAGAAAAAAAGTATGTGTGTATATGTATATATACATAAATATATGTATATATATATATATATATATATATATATATATATATATATATATATATATATATATACATATATATATACATACATACATATATATATATATATATATATATATATATATATATATATATATATATATATATATATATATATTTATACACACACACACACACACACACACACACACACACACACACACACACACACACATATATATATATATATATATATATATATATATATATATATATATATACATATATATATAAATCTTGGGCCTGCAGTACGAGGCCTTATTAACCACTCTCATATAATTGCTATAGTTAAACTTTTATGACAGTCTAAAGTGCATAGACAACCTCCTGCATAAACATATCACAGTATATCCGATTCATTATACATTCTTTGATATTACATAATCTAGTAGTGAGTATGTATAAACAACTTTCCGCATTAACAAACCAGTTTAATAAGAAGCATATTACATATTCTCGGACATGACATGATCTCTTAGTAGGCATAACGGCCGGTTATCTAGCTACTGCATTACAATTTATGCTTACGACTTAGTTTGATATCGTGTGCACTGTTCCTCTCGCATTAATTACAAAAAAAGGGATAATAGCCTTATTTCCATTCATGAAGAGTAATAGAAACTCTTTTGGCATTTTGTATCCTCTTAATTTCGTGGACCAAGATGACGGGCCAATCTAGTGGACAAGTTATTTTGTTTCATATTTCAATTTCAGTGAATATTTATCTTCTTCACATATGTATTTTTTTTTTACTGAATTTTCACCTTATTCACTAATCTATTTCCTTTTCATAATTTCCTATATTATACTTATTAATTCATCTAATAATTCTATTTGTCAGGAAGGATTTCTACAAAACCAAAAGTGTGCTTGTTAAAAGGAAATAAGTGCAGAAAGAAGAAAATTTCTTATTGATTTATGCTACTAAAATCGTAGGAGAAAATTGCTCTCGAAAATGGAAAGAGTAATGATGACATGTATATGAAAAAGAAGAAAGGCTATACGTAGGAATATGTTATAGATACTCAAGCCAATTTAAACTATCCAGACTTAGCTTTGGCTAAATCTAACTCACCCCGATTAAACCCAATCTAACCTAACCTAACTTAATTGAGCCTAAGCTAAAGCAATCTAAACTAACTTAACCTAACCAAACGCAGCGCAACCTAGCATCACCAGTTCACCCTAGCCTAACCTGATCAAACCTAACCTAACCTAAACTCACCAAGCATAACCTAACCATAACATAACATAACATTATTCAACCTAACCTAACCATGTATAACCTACCCTCATCTCACCTCACCTCACCCGACCTAACCTACCCTAACCTATCTCAACCTAACCTAACCTAACCTATCTCAACCTAACCTAACCTAACCTATCTCAACCTAACCTAACCTAACCTATCTCAACCTAACCTAACCTAACCTATCTCAACCTAACCTAACCTAACCTATCTCAACCTAACCTAACCTAACCTAACCTATCTCAACCTAACCTAACATAACCTATCTCAACCTAACCTAACCTAACCTATCTCAGCTAAACATAACCTAACCTAGCCTAACCAAACCTAACCTATCTCAACCTAACCTAACCTAACCTAGCCTATCTCAACCTAACCTAACCTAACTTAACCTAACCATATATAACCTACCCTCATCTAACCTAACCTAACCTAATCTATCCTATTTCAACCTAATCTAACCTAACCTAACCTAATCTAACCTATCTCAATCTAATCTAACCTAACCTATCTCAGCTTAACATAACCTAACCTAGCCTAACATATCTCAACCAAACCTAACCTAACCTATCTCAACCTAATCTAACCTAACCTAACCTAACCTAATCTAACCTAACCTAACCTATCTCAACCTAACCTAACCTAACCTAACCAAACCTAACCTATCTTAACCTAACCTAACCTAACCTATCTCAACCTAACCTAACCTAAATGACCTAATCTATCCTAACCTATCTCACCTAACCTACCTAACATAGCACTAGCTCAACCTAACCTAACATACCTATCTCAACCTACCCATAACCTAACATATCTCAGCTAAACATAACTACCTTAGTCTAACCAAACCTAACCTATCTCAACCTAACCTAACATAACCTAACCTAACCTATCTCAACCTAACCTAACCTAACCTAATCTAACCTAACCTATCTCAACCTAATCGAACCTAACCTAACCTAACCTATCTCAATCTAACCTAACTTAACCTAACCTAATCTAACCTAACCTAACCTATCT